TATTTATTTTCAACATCGACAACTAGGGCTCAACAATATTTACTTTTGAGAAAAAAAAAACTGATTCAATTTGATTGATACATTAGCGACACACTTCAAAAATTGCATTTGAAATTGCATTTGCAATTGCAAAAATACAAAACTTAAATTTCAACTCTTCGAATACCATCGCAAGCAAAATACCGAATAAACTTGTTTTATTGAGAAACGAAAAAAAAAACGGATACTACTTTCCTCGAATTGCAATTTTGAAACTCATTTATAAGCTACTTTATATTATTATTGTTTCCCATTAATTATAAAATTCATAGCATAAGAATCAGTCGGCAAAATTCTATTTATGTCGTCGCGTAGACCGCTAGTTACCAGGGTCGCTATGACTTCCATATTATTACTAGATTTAGCCTCTTGCCTTCAAATATTTTATTCAATAATTTAATACTTTTAAGAATAAGTTCGAGCCATTTGAAATATTTTAAACACTTTTGAAGATGAGAAAACACAGCCTTTTCAAAAGATCAGTTTGAAAAACTCGTGAAGACACAAGCAATAAATCTTAAAAATTCCTAACGTAACTTTGGCCTCCCAAATACATTTTTTGTATAATTTTTTTGTAATAGAATTTTCCAAGTGCAATGTGAGTCTAACATCAAGCCGTTTGGAACGTAACAGCTGTAATGTATTAACAGTGGATGAGTGATGCCTAAGGGTTCACTGTATTATCAGCCAATGTTAAATAAGTTAAGTGCAATGAAGTTTCAGGTATAGCGAAAAAGAAGATTCCGATTTTTCTTCAACGCGATTTTTCTTTCATGCCATGAACAGGTTGACTCAAAAGTGCATGACGCAGATAACTCGAGTAAATGATTTTTTTTTTAATTCGCTCACATATGTGTCAGGCAACATTTTCATTTCGATTACGTTTATGGAAGAATTGCGTTACAAAAATTGTATGAACAAATGTTATGGAAATTTACGGAAAAATTGGGAGACAAAAGATTAAAATTTTCTGTCAATATTAAAACTCGTATTGAATGGAAACATAATTTTTTAGGAAGAATTACGGAGTAGATCGAGAAAGAAGTAAATTGCCTATAAATTTTTGCAACAAAATTTTGACTTTCCCTCATTTCATAGGAGAAGACAGACAAAGCAGAAAAAATATTTCGTAGCATTTCGTGATTGCTTTGATTATACCACACGTCCTTTTTATAATTCTACGCTCATTATCCATGATTAACAATCTCTCGCAATCAT